AGTTATAGCAAGTGGGTATTTACTTATTTTCTGGAAAAAAGTAGAACTATTCCCAATTTTATCCAGTTTATTTAGTGCTGCTAACATATCCGAGTACTCACTTTTTAAATAACTCTCTCTGCTCTCATAATTAGAAATGTTAGTTATAATCAGTTGCAAAAGTATATCTCAAACTTTCCCATACAAGATCATATCAAAAATTCTTTCTTATTTCCTTCTTGCTAAGTATTTATTGTAGAAGAAATGACCTTCAGTGACCTTGAATACTCAGTGAGGAAAGTACAAATTTCATAGCACTTGATCCCTTCTCATATAAACATATATATATACATATATCATTTTATAGGATCAAGTCCTTAATCTTACAACAAGATACTGTCAAGGTCATGGCAGAAATAAGTCCTGGTTTTCTTTTGATACAATAATCCTGAATATATATATATATCAGTTGTTTGTTAAACAGTCTGTGTGTTTATTTCTTTCTGCTTGGGCTATGCTTCTCTGCCGGTGGCTTAAATTTATTTATACACACTTAGTACAAATTCTTTTTGTCTTCTATAGTCAGTCAATGCAGTCAAAATATAAACGAGAAAGTGTGTGTGGGGGGAGGGAAGCACACATATAGGATTTTTATCTTTTTTTGTTGAAGGAGATAAAAAAAGAAATTAAAAGAAGAATATATATTTTGAGAACTCTATAAGCTAATTTATTTTCATTTTTCTATAGATTTGTAGGAAGATAATGTACTGAATTTTAAGGTGAAATATTTCTGAATGAATTATTCCTCCTTTTTTTACCCTGTACATACACATACACATACACAGTGGCTCTCCAACCACCTTGCCCTCACCCCTAAAAATAAGAAGAAACAGACCTTCTCATTTGAGTATGAACTGCTTATTCCCTTAATGACCTTGAAGCATATTTCATTTTTAAAACTGTAAAGTATACAAAGAGAAATCGGATTTCATTCACATACCTGATTTGTATTTATCGCATATAATAGAAAGTCAATCATTGGGTAATCTGGAAGCGACATTGATGAAAAGGTTTTTGTGTAAAGTATATAGTTTTTGTACCACTGATTCAAAAAATAAGAAACAGTTAAAAATAAAACCAGTCTTCTTGAGAAAACGATGGAGAGTGAGATAGAGATAGAAAGAGAGAGAAAAAACTGTCGAATGATGCAAGACAATTATACGAGTTGTCTGGTAGGTGTTGCTAGTTTCATTGAAATCAATAAAGGATACATTAAAACATGCGATCAACATATTATGGCTTATTCATATTATACTATGGTTACACAGACTAAAAGGGTAGACAGTAATATACATAAAAGTCTTTATATTCATTTCTAAGTTATAATGAATTCACCTAGACCAATAGTAAGGTATGAATTAGTACATTATTAAAGTGTTAACTGTTTAAAAAAGCAAACTAAACTTTTGTAGACAGTTGACATCGTTTTACAAAGTATACGAATCCAAAAGACGTAATCTGTGCCGTTGCAGAATTTAAATTACAAGTGTTGCTTATCAAATGGCGAAAAGTTATATAGCCACAGTCATTCCATTTCAGAACTGAAATATTTTGAATTCATGTCAGAAAAGTTGTTAAGTCCTACAGGTAACCAATATTTTTATTTCAGGCTTAGTCACTCCTGCATTGAACCATCATCAGTTTTAAACAATCAAAACATGTTAGCTTTTCTTAGTAACAAATTGATCACCTACTGTCTTTTTCTCTCTTTCCACCGCAATGTGATTAGAAGAGAGGTAATGTCTGACCAGATGGAGACCGAAATGATGCATAATTCCAGTGATCAGCTTGACCACAATACGGCTGCATAACTGATTACTTTGAAACTTCTGATTCGACAGCCTTTGATGATGTCGATCTCTTATACAACTTCTGTTATCACTGGATTACAGTTTTATTCTTTAAAGTGATATTTATTTAAAAAAATATAAAAATGTCTGTCTCATTATTGTCACTATTATTATCATCTTATATCGTTAACTAATGGCAATAATCTATTCTGTGTAACCACATACACAATTAACCATTTTGTTATGTTTATTCCACAGGTTGCGTCGGTGGTTCATCTGCAGAATGCTCGCCAACCACCAAGGTGGCCCAGGGTCTGGTCCTCAGCAGACGCAATTCTAAACTTCTCTTAAGCGGTAGTAAGCCTAACAGAGAGGTAAGGTTGAATGTAAGTCTAGCAAATTAAGAGTGTAAAAAAGAATAACACCACTGCAACTGAACTTCCATTAGCTTCCAGAAAAACAAGCCACAGGTAAAAGAGACCTCAGAACATTACATCGCATAACACGGTTCTTATCCAGTACAAGATCAAGGCAGGTAAAACCTTTAAAAGAGGTTCACAGGAACCTGATTATCAAGGAGGAGAAAAAATAAGACAGTGGGCTGATCACCTCAAAGGACTCTTGAATCTAACATCACCTGCAACTCGTCCCGAAAAGCCAAGACCACCACCAACAACAACAGCAGCAGCACGCACAGAACTGCCTATCAGTGAACACAAATCCTTCAATGAAGGCAGAAATCGTGAATGTGATAAAGCTACTGAAAGTCAAACGGGAAGGCAACGCGGCTACAAAGAATTCTCATACACTCCGTAGCACTGAAAATGGACCCACAGACTGCGACAGACGTTCTCACGTCATTATTGCAGAAGGTTTGAAAGGAAGGAAAGATGACTACTGACTGATTGGAAGGAGGGCAGGCCAGCTTGTCAAAACAACAAAGAAGAACGAATTACGCCTCACTCTGCAAGAACTGACTGGCGTGGAACAATGCCCTTGTCCACCCAAAGTAAACTACTAAGCCGCGTAATCCGGGAGAGAATATAAGATGCACTGGATACAGAACTCCGCTCCACCGACCAGAACAAGCTGTCTGAATTCAGGAAAGGTAAGTCATGTGCTGATCAAATTGTAACTCTATACATCGTCATCATCAGAGAACAAAGCATAGAATGGCAGTCAAACCTCTCTCTACCTCAACTTCGTTGACTACGAAAAGGCCTTCGACAGACAGCGTTGACCACGAAGTAATTCGGAAACTGCTTGAACACCACTTCGTGCAGTGATCGAGTCTTTATCAACCTCATTAAACAGCTTGCTATATGACAATGCCACGTGTCAGGTGATCCACAACGGAGAACTCAGCCAAGCCCCGCTTCGAAGTGAATACTGGGGTAAGACAGGGCTGGCTGACTATCATCACCCACAATTATATTCCTGATTGTGGTAGACTGGATTATGCATGAGACTGTGCACAGAGAGTGAGGAGACAGGAATATGCTGCACTGACCGATACGAAGAATCTAGAACATCTGAATTTCGTGTGTGGATGATACCTGTCTAATGTCACACAAACTCGAAGACTTGCAGGCGAAAACCAACAAACTGTCAGAATAGGCTGGTTGTCAGCGAAGACAGGACTCCAAGTAAACATATGGAAGACGGAGGTGATGAAGATAACCAGTCACCACCACCACCACTACCACGAACAGTAACAACAACAACAAAAACCAGCACCGATCACCATCAAAGGGAGAGATTTGACAGAAGTTACTTCCTGCCTTCACTTATCCAGTCAGGAAGCACGGTTTCAACCACAGGCACACGGCACGGATGAAGATGTCAAAGACAGGCAGTCAGAATCGGAAAGGCGAGAGACATACGTCTTCATCAACCCGAAAGTGGTCTGGAAATCGTCTGCACTGACTCAGTCAGCATAAGCAACAAGGTTCGGATTTTCAACACAAGTCAATCAGTCAGTCAGTGATTCATACTGAAGATCAAATGGCCAGCCAGCCAGCCAGATAGAATTAGCAGTCAGAAAGTCTTCAGTGGAACAAACCAACCAAGAGCCGATCGTTCGACAAACATGTAGGAGAAATGGAGATGGATCAGGCATACATTGAGGAGGCCATCGAATGACATCGCGTGCAATGCAGGCAATAGCTCAAGTGGAATCATAATGGTAAGCGACAAGTGGGTCGTCCAGATTTTGCATGGAGGAGATCTTTTGATGATTTGGAGGAAATGAGAGATTATGGAAATCATGGACCCAGCTGAAGAGAACAGCAGAGAATAGAACAAATTGGAGATGTGTTGTTGAAGCTCTATATGCCACTTGGAACGCAAAGGAATAAAATAAATAATAATAAATTATAGAGGTAACTACTAATTCAATAGAATTTGCCTGATGATGATAATCAGTGTATCGACTGATGGGTCAAATGCAACATAATTTATTTGAACAAAAATACCTATAACATGGAGAGCATACCACAATGCCATACATATTTTAAATTTATTGTAAGTAAAAACCTTTCCCATTAAACATCATTTAAAAGAAATTCTAAGTCTATTTCATTTCGCCCAAATTAATTGCTACTGCTTCAAAGTAATAATAATAATAAAAAGGAAGAGGAAAAAAAGTGAGTAGAAAACACATTGGTTTATTGAATTTACTCAAAAATGCTTTCTCAAGTACTTATGGGTAGACTGATTAACTGGAGTGTAAATCAATACCCAACACCCACGCATTTAAATACAGATAAAACAGACTCTATTTGCGCTTTCCATTTTGTTTAGTGGTTCTCTTTAAACGAATGCATATACAAAGGCTTTCGATTATCGACTTTTCAGGACAGTATGAATACTCTATGCATCAATCAAGTAATTCAGTTTCTAACATCACATATACATATATATAACGATTAAAGACACTTGGATTACAGGTGGGAAATCTACAACAGGGCATGACGCTGAGTCATTATTAGTAAATTAGAATTCTGATACATTTACTATAGTGTTTTTGAGTAGCCTGGTTGGATGTCTTATACGGTCTACTAGACTGTTTTTTATAGAAAAATCACATTATCACATTATAATGCATGGATAAAAAGAAAGACAATTGGTATTAATTATGGATATAAATAAAACGAAAATTGTGCTACTCACCTTGCAGGTTTAGTTTGACCCATTTTACGAACTTTTATTGTGCAATATGTGACACGGGGAAAATGTCCAGTTCGTTCCCATTCAATCCCAGAGGATAAATCTTGTAATAATCGCAGACCAAATACAGTACTATTAAAACCGGTAAAACGTTTCATTAGATAAATCTGTCCAACTGAATTAGCTACAAATAATGCTCGTACAAACAAGAAGAGCATAGTTAAACGAGCATTTGGTGTGACACCGCATAGACATCGATTTACAATTGATTTTATTCGTCTAAATCTTGACTGTGATTCAGCTTGTTCTTCTAGTGTTGCAACTAAACATGAAACAGCCTTGAGTCGCAATTCACGATCAGGTATAGCAGCTTCTTTGGCTGATTTTAATAATAGAGGTAAACGTCTTGAACCAACACGCCAGAGTAAGTGTGGTACCCATGCCATCATAGCTTGACCAGCTAAGACTATAGCGACCCATTGATAATAGCCAATAAATTTAACTTTTTCATAATCCACTTGATCTGTTGGTATCTCTTCATTAGGTAACAAGAAGTACGTATTTGATACCCAGCATAAATTTTCAGCATATTCCTCCCAGGATTTTGTAAACTCTTGTGGTACCCAACACTGAATTGGTTTACCTTTGAAATACATAAATTTTGGATAAAAAAAGACAATTATAAGGTTCATATAGTGCAATAAGCATTTGCTAATTATATAAATATATATATCCATGTTTATATATATATACTTTGTCGACGAGCATTATTTAACGCAAGTCATTAATAAAATCAGCTGATTTACAGGCCAGCTGGATTACTTCATGTACGGCTGTCAGTCAAACTTGAAAATCCAAGTCTGTCTGAAAGTAGAAGAATACAAAAGCATTAATAATCACCTTGTTTTGTAGTAAGAACCCAACATACAGAAAGATGATAGCACTAAAACTACGAAAAGAAGTGCACTTGTATATATGAAGGGTACAATCTAAAGGACTCCATTGAATCAATTAGCCACACATCTCCTAAAAATAATTATCAGTTGTAGAAAGAAGTTAATTTTTCAACTTCATTCTCTCGCCTGTGCCCTCTCTCACTCCCTTTCTCTTAACTTCCTCTTGCTTTCTCCTAGTCTCCATTTATTTGTAAGTTGCAAATTTGTTAATCTTCGTCTTAGTAATTCTTGTTCATCTCATTTTGCTTCCACTTCATAATGTACTTGTGTATACTTGCGATAGAGAGTGACGATGCTTCCACGTTCTCTTCACTATTACTTTTATGATTATTGTGTCGAGACGATTTTCAGCATCAGTCTTCATGTGTTTTTTTTCATTTTCGTCTTAAGAATTTTCTCCATTACCTTTTTCTTATGTATTCTGCAACAGAAAATTTTGTATAAAATCCCATTGGGGATAAATTATCTTTGTTTTATTTTAACCGCAATTATTAGTGCGCTTTTCATGATAATGAGGTAGGGAAAGCATTTTAATTAAATTGCTGTTTGTATATGCATATATATATGTATATATACATATTTATATACTTTCGTAAATTGGTGATGATTAGGGAAACAATGAAGTGAATAGAAAAGACATTCAAAAAATGCAGCACAAATGGTGGAAATGTGCGCAAAGGTTGAAATGAGTCAATTACTGAGTGAAACGATATCCTTTAAGAGAAGATGGACATCATCGATTCATTGTTATTCTCTTCTAATATCTCCTTATGAACCATCTAAGGCATCATTGATATGATATACGTTGGTAACATACATGTTATTGTATGAAGGAGACTGTATCCCGACAACACGTATCTGATTATAATGTAACCGGATCATTATAACTGAGTATTCTACTGATGACGTAGTCATCGCGTTCATCACAAATAATTTTTAAAAATTACTTTCTTGGGTCTCAGTAGACCAAGTACACTGAACTAAACACATTTGCTGTCATCTAAAAGTCGATTAATTAATGTGACATGAAATAGAGTTACAGGATATCAGCTGACAGAGGAAAATAGATAGAAACTAAACTGTCTTCATTTACAAAGCTTGTATCCAAAATTCAATCAGAAAAAAATTATTTCTTGTGAAATTAACCAAACTAAACTAAACCGCATTGATGTGAGTAGTTTCAATGCCAATGAAGACTTATTGAACAATCTGAAAGAATCCATAGATTATAAAATATATCCTGTTTAAGTAAATATATTAATTAACTTGTATTTTTTGTGACCCCATACATTATTTTCAATTTTTCAGAATCTCTAGGTAGTTCAACTGAATTCTAATCTTCAATAAGTGAAACACAGATACACTGCTGACTTCGCATTCATCCACTGCTTCAAAAGACCTGAATGTGAAATCATTTGGATTGAGTGCTTTATATTCAAACAATCTTCAGAATTCAAGATCTTTTTAAACGCCTCATTCTACTATGACGCATAGTATAGTGAAGATGCAGATCTCCATATCAAACAACTGAGTTGCATTATTACTAGGATTTCCGCTAACGACTGTTACAGGAGGTTAGAAACAAAATTTTGTTTCATTGATATAAACTAACAGCCTAGTACAGGATTAGATAAAAAGACATATATACATATGTATATATATATATATCAGTGATGGGTAAATTTACTATCATTCATAGTCTACCAATAATTCCACTCTAAACAGCTTCAACAACGCTCAGTAGTTTACAGATCTACAGATTAAACAGAATATGACTGAAATTGTATCATCGTTTGTTGCTTCTAAACACTCCAACATCAAACTGAAAGACTGAAATTTCAAATTTCTCCATGTACGCGACCATTACTTAGTCTACTTATGTATCAAGTGGTTACCGATGGATTCCAGCCTTGTAAAATAGCTAAACTTAAGAGTAATACTGATATGACCAGGTGATAAGGATTATTAAGGGATTTGAATACTGACAGTTTCTAGAAGTCAGTAATACCACTGATTGTGAAATGAATCATCGTTATATTTCGTATGTATATATATATATATATAGCATTACGTATCTGTGTTCAAATACATCATTAACTTTAGTTAGTAAAATGCTTTGGTTTGATTTATGAATTCAACTGTTTAACTGAAATTGGTACTGCAAGACCGACTAGAAGGAGATTTCAAGTGCTCTGAACCCATTTACTTGACCTATTAAATCCAACTTTAAACATGACCTGCATTGTTTAGTCATGCAGACTTTATAATGAAGCACTGATATGTTAGTGGTGATATCTACGCCACGTGACTCTGCAGTGTTTGACAATGAAATCTTAGAAGATAACTCAATGTGAACAGACGTATAAGAAACTACTAATAACTTACATTGCTTAGAAAAAATTTACTGAGTCACTTCCAATGAAAGATTGTGGGCAGTAAATTGTGCTCGAGATGTCATCTAGGTACTGACACTATAGTAATGTGTGCTATACGAAATATCTTTATTTAATAGACAACTCTCCAGCTAATTTTTACTTGTATGGCTTTATTGGGTAGCTAAATTTAGGTGGGTTAATTGTAAACCACCAAAGTTTTGAGGCGCCTAAGCTAAGAAACGAAAAGGAAGGTTGACTGACTAGGAAAACTGATATAGTGTTACTAATCACTCATAAGCTAAAAAATGTAGGTATTATGCAGTACCAAACTAACACACAATGATTTGTCCATACTGTGTGAAGGATTGAGACTAGCACTTAGTCCCCTAGACTATTCAAACAGCCTAACATAGACGGTAAGCACTTACCACTTTATTAGGCTGTTGAGGTAAATCTTCCATCATGTTTCAACTTAAATTTGGACACAGCAATTACAACTTAATTACTTAGGTGTGGCATTAACCTCTTAGATACATTCTGTCCCAGAATAAACCAATGATAGATCGAGTGTAATTCACATCTTTTTCTTCTTCTCACCCTCTATCCGATTTCGTGTACCATCTAGAGCGTACAGCACACCGACTCATATAATTAATTTTAAAACAATTTTCACTAAGAATATTTTTCTTTTTTAGATTTACTTCATTCAGATTGCGTGACTCAGCGTATCTAATACATGTAACTCTGGTTTTCAACTTAGGAAAAAACGTTAGGAGAAAGAAAGCCAGGTTTTCTGCTTAGCACATTGCTTTTAAAAAGTAACATTAATTACACGCGAAAAATAGTTATGTTAGAAGTCATATTAAAATGTAAAAACAAAACAACAGTTTCTCTAATTCGACATAAAAATGTACTGCCGTAGTCTTGTCCTACATATATGTATATATATATATATATGCTGTATCTTGGGCTTTTCATTCTTTTGATTTTAACTGCTATTGTTCTTCCTTTGTACAAAATAATATGTACTTGTCTCCATGTCGCGTCACCACTACCTCTCTATTCCATCCCTTACTCTCTCTCTCGCTCTCTATGTCTTTCCTACTACCTTTTTCACTCCATACCCATTTTATTCAAGCATTTATTCTATACTAAACTGTCGATGAACGCGACTATAACAGTCACGCAATTTCCTAAGCAAGTGAAAAGAAATACATTACACTTTGTACAGTATATAACATATCAGAATTTGTTACTTTAAATGAAATTAAAAGAATGTCGATGAATAAATAAGCGAAACACTGGTAAATCAAAGTAACATTAAAAAACATTAGTCTATTTTATGCCTTTTATTTATACACTTGAAAATCGGCTCTGTACTGAAAATCGTTCACTTTTTCAGAAAGTTAGTGCAGTTTATATTTACAGAACACTTAATGTTTTTTGACAAGATTATATATATATATATATATAGCGAGAGAGAGAGAATGTATGTGTTTGTTTTGTTTTAGGTCTGCAGCCTGTCAACTGTATTAAGTGGTATAATATGGTTTGCAATATTGAGGTTAAGAGTAGAGTGTTAGGTAAGGAGGGTAAGTGAGTCGATATGAAGGTAGATACACCTGCTGAGATGTCTACGATAAGTGTTGCTTATGCTAAGCCATCGACTTCCGCGACGCTCAATGTTAGCTGCAATTAGACTGGATTGGAAAGAATTAAGAGGTGTATCTCCTTGAGACAAAAGAAAAACTCTTTGTGGGGACATTGAATTTCCGTACTATGTACGAGATTGGCAAAGCTGCCCAGATCGCAAACGAAATGAAAAGATACAGAATTCAAGTACTGGGAATATGTGAAAGCAGATGGAACAGTAATGGACTCACCAAATTGTCAACGGGTGAGTCAGTGATCTACTCCGGTCACTCAGAAGATAACCACTTGCACACCGAGGGCGTGGCTATCATGATGTCACCAACGGCAACGAAGGCCCTGATGCAATGGGAGGCGATCTCGCCCAGGATAATAACCGCCAGATTCAACTCCGAAGGAAGGAAAGTGTCGATTAAACAATGCTATGCACCGACCAACAACGCAGACCTCGAAACGAAATAAGAATTCTACAGACAACTGCAGAAAACAATGGACAATACTCTAGTTGGCGATATTAAAATACTAATGGGAGACATGAACGCCAAACTGGGATCAGACAACACAGGAAGAGAACTCATCATGGATAGAGAAGCTCTCGGAGAAATGAATGAAAACGAAGAACTCTTCGCCGACTTCTGTGCCTTCAATGGACTAGTGATTGG